TGGCTCAAGGAGCAGCAATAAGCCTGAACCCTCAGATATAACTTCAAGCCCCGGATAGCAGGAACAAGACTTATAAGAAAGTATTTCAATCCGATAGAAGACGTTGACGTCCCACTCGACCTTTCCGACGGTCGAGATGCTTCAGGCATTCTGATGACTCCAAGCGATCGATTTCCTAGAGCTATTTAGTGGTTCAGCTAGACTTGGCCACACAGCCGCTCTTGCAGGGCTCCGAGTAGTACCGGATACGCGTTCGTTTGCTGACCCCACAATAGCCGTAACCAATCATGAGATAAGAGAGGCTATGAATCATCTTACTCGTGTGCCAAGCGGTACTGAAACATTGCCGGGTAGCCATAACGTTACATTCGATCAGTATCTTGGAGTCCTTCGTCAGTTCTTTGTTCCGACACTTAGGTTTCAGTATGTCTCAATTATGAAAGGTACATTTGGTCATCTCAGAACCATGTACAAGAACAAGCCTGGTGTAGTTCTCATGTGGAACAAGAACAACTTCTCCAAGATCTATGTAATGGATCATCAACAAGTAGCTTTGGACAAACTCATTCCACAACACTGGATGACAGTATTTTACTGGAATGACAGTGGCAAGATGCCTCCACGGCCACAAGCGCCACGAACAATCCAGTGCCAATGGGCCTCGATGATCCACCAGGACAGCCTCCACATCCTGGTCTCGCACCTGATCCGAATGATGATGCTGGTATGGATGATCAGATGAATGATGTACCGGATGAGGATGATGCCGACTTACCGGCGTTGGAACCTATACAACCGACACCACCATCAGCTTATTCAATGCCACCATGACCTGCGCCTACAGTTCCACACGTTGGTCCACCGACCTTCGATATTTCAACACCACCGTGCGATGGAGTCACCACACACTCCACCACCTCATCCACCGACAACACCTTTTGCATCGCCTGATACACCTGTCACACCAAGCTTACCTACCGTACCACAGAAGCGACGCAAGTCACATCCACCTGAACCCAGCATCCATACACCCTCACAACCTCGAACCAAGAACCAAACCCAAGGCCATCAATCCTACGCTACCGTTTATACCTAAGTTTGTCTCCAAACCTGCCCCCGCTAAGCAGATGCCTGCGTCGTCATCTAGTCCGCCTCCTAGCAACCATCTGGGGGTGATGTTTCGCGCGATTTGCAGGTTTACAACCACCTACCGGTACAATGGTATTGCCTATTGCCGATACCTACCGAAGAAGCAGACTGTGACGCTGAAACAACACCTGGTGACCCGACATTTGTTCCAAAACCCGTTGAAGAAGAATAATATGTCACTGGAGAAGAAGATGATGAAGAAGACAATGAGACAGCCTGAGAGACGTTTGATCCTGATGCTTTGTACGTTGACGAGGCACAATGGACACTCTCTATGTTTCAATTGCCGGTTACCATCGTCTATTATACCCTCTCCAGCCAGTGTCCCAGTGAGGCTGATGCCACGAGGAATAGGAGGCAGAGGATTGCCACCACACTTGCCGTCTCCACTGAGAACGTTCTTTGCCCTTCTGTTTCGTGCAGAAGTATCACTTCGGACTCGAACGTTGGATCTTGCAGCGAGTTGGAATGTACACTGAAACGGGTGGTGATAATCATGGTCGTTGGTGTGCAGACAAAAGTCTAAATGGTTCAAATGTTTCAGGTTCTCATTGACCTCAATGAGGGTTTCTTTTTGATGCGGAGGTCCATCGTATCCAATACGGCCTTTGTCATCTGGAACGTCGGGTCGTCACTAGCGTGAGTATATCCTTGCCATAATTTAGCGCAATCTGCGTAAGGCAGTCTACATCGGCATCCTGTCCGGCTAGTGCTGCAAGCTGATCTGTGGCAAGCGTTGGTGAGGTTCACGCAGCTTATTTGCAGAAACTAGGATCTGGTTTAAAATGGTAAGGACGGAGGCTGTTGCCGGATCGGAATGTCGATCCTGCTTGAATTGTCTATCAGTGAAGAGGTTCGCGTCACAAACTATGACGCCCACCTGGTCCGCAACTGCTGTCACCAAGACCTTAGTGAGTGCGCTCTTCCCTGCCGTCAACAGCAAAACAGAAATATGTCGCCTTGGTTAGCGCGAAAGTCAGCAGTCAGCCATGTGGCTTCGGCTCAGGTCGACTATCTGACGCATCTCCTCGCCGGAATATCGGCGGGATTGGTCGTAAAAGCAGCTAGGTCGGTTTTGTAAGGTGTGGTTGAATCTTGAAGTATAAGCAATGATATCTATATATTTATATTTGTATATGGTTTGATTTTGTTGTTGACTTGGGCTTGATAACATACATATATGTCTAGTTCTAAACGCAAATATGATGTATAAACGTTTTGACTAGCTTGAAACTCTCAATGCAGCTGAGAACGGGAAGATTAGAAAGAATGCAAGCATTGCGGGGTGAGCTGATGATGCAATGGCTCATCTTTGAAAGGGAGAGAGTTACTGGTTGAGATTGATTGGGTAGTTTTAGTATTGGTTTACATGAAGATTGTTGAACCAATTCATGAAGGAATGAAGTGATTAATCATTTTTCTTGGATTAACTGATTAACTGGACTGAGACAAGATCAGGGCCTGCATGGTTAGAATTGCGCACTTTGGCGGCGTGTGCGCTGATGGGCGCTGCGTTGCAAACGAGCAAACGCAGAAAGATCAGCAAGCGTCGAATTGGAGTGGGGGTGGGTTGTTTTGAGCAATCTGGACGAGCCAGCATATGTTTATGTTTTCTGTTTGATGTCATCAATCAGTACTTTGGTTGGTTTATGTCGGCGTTTACACGTGTAACACATCTGACGATTGGCGTATTCAGTCCACTCAAACCATCGAACCCACAGTGGGATGCTTTTTTGGATGAGGGGAATGAGTTTGGCGCCCTGGCTGCATAGATAATGTGCACGTTACCTAGTAATTTGATTTGGTTAGTTACTATGATATCAGCTTGGTTCTCACATATTGGACATATGACTACGCTACTTTGTCATGGGTCTATACTGCGCAGTTTGAAATTAAGGTTGTTGCGCTGAGGATGGGCCTATTACTATTGGATGAGGATACAGCGTCAGGTTTTGCGTGATTTGAGGAAGGAGGAGATCAAGAAGGTTATGAGACTTAGATTGATGACTTTTGAAGATAAATGAGTTGTCTATGAGTAATTAAGGAGTTTGTGTGATATTTTCATTGCGTCATTTGAAATATGCGCATTTTCAGGAACACCGTCTACAAAGAATGAGTTGATGTGGCCAATCTATGACAAGATGTGCAATGCATCACCTGCACCAGTCAGGTCATGAGCGCGTGAGAAACGGCTGAGCTTGGTATGAGTTGATGAGTTCATGACATAGATCTGTTTGACCCATGAGTCCATATGCCATGAATCAACCCGACAAATGTATAATTTAGTATGCGTGAGGTTGTTGGTCTGTTTGATGCCAGTCAGGTCTCAGCCAGTTAGGGGACGCTCCATTTGTTGACCTCCAAACTTTGGATGAGCTGCCTACAACATTCGTGAGCCCATCTCACGAGCGCTAGCAATGCAATGTTGGGATCATGGAATGTTCATGGCAATTATGTCATGTGAAATATCCATGAACTATTTGTTCATGAACTATCGTATTCGCAATGTGACCGTTTGCAATGCTGTTCACCGAGATCATTACACAAGGCAAGCTCCACATGAGCTGATGAGGTATTTCACTCGCACGTGAGCTGTGCGTGGATTGGTGGAGGTTGGTAACTGCGAAGCAAGGCAAATATCTGGGATGAACCTATGTGCCTGCTTCAAACAGTGCCTCTTCGGCGAAACTTGGACTACTTTCCACTAGATAATAGATTCCTTCAGTTTTCTGGCGTGGAAAAATTCAGCACTGCGAGGGTAAAACATGGGACCTCATGGTGACCGTGGGTGTGGGAGAGTGGATTGGTTCCTCATTACTGATAGCAACTTACTCTAGTAGGTATTGGTAACAAGCAGATGATGCTGCAACAAGCTGAAAAGCTGTATGCAAGATCTATAGAAAACTTTCAAAGCTAGGAAACATATATATATTGTTCAGATGGCTCCTCCCAAAGTAGAAAATCATTTGTGAACAGTTGGGTGGAAGTTGGGAATGAGTTGGAAATACTTTGTCATTTTTCTGGATTTGTTGGAATTTTGTATTTTGGCAGGTGATGAGCGGGCATTGTGCAGGAAGTGTCTTGTCACTAGCTTTGTACAGGTTTGAATACTGTGAAAGGGTGTGAGATGGATCGATATGTCATGTGAAGTGAATGGTATGAGACATGGATCACATGTTAAAGTGCCTTTCATCGTTGTTCACCACAAACTGATACTGAAATTGATAATATGCTGAACAGATTGGGCTGAGTGAAACTTTGTGGACTGACTTGGCAAGGCTTTTTCGGTGTCAGTAGGTTTTATTTAGGTTATAGTTGGACTTACGTTTGGTTATTCTGGTCTTGTAGGTTTCATATGTGTGGTCACCAGCTAGAAAAAACATCAAACGAAGCGGTGTCCATTTAGCACAAAGGATTTCTATGTCCTTTCCTTCAGGGGGAGCTCTGGTAAGGATGAGTCTGGTTCCATGTTTTCCTTGTTATTCAGGTTCTTTTCCATGCTTGCCCCTTGCAAACCTTTTGGTTTTCCACTTTAACATTTCAAGGTGAACAATCACAAGTTGGCGTTTGTATGTACTTTCTGATGATGCATGGTAAAAAAATATGAAACATTGTTTCTGTTTTGTGTGTGTCATGGCTTCGTGCAATGGATTCTACTGTTAGGTCGATTTGCTTTGGTGGTCGTTTGTGAACATCTTATGGTTTTGCATGAACAGTATGCTAATAAACCCTGGCGGCGCATTGGTCTAACAGTTCCCACCACCCCCCCAGGTAAACCTATACCATGTTTATGCCATCCGGATGATCACGCCCTGAGCACCTTCATTGCCGGCGGATTTGCTGGAAACAAGGTACTTGAAGGAGCACACCGCAGTTGCCTTGGGGATCGTTGCTGTGGTAGTGATAGGCATTGTTGCGCTCTCAAAGTCTGCTACTCAAAGGGGTCAGACTTGCGCAAAATGCAAGTATATAGTGCAACCTGCAAGATTGTGCATTTTGTAGTTTCTTTCTATCTATATATGTCTACGTAGCCTACACACAAAAGCAACTGCAGGTGAGCGAGGAGGCCAAGAAAAGATTGCAGGCGTGGGCTGATGTTCCTTCGCTCTTGCGCGATTTGTCCACCGTGGGAAACATCAGTTGGTACGGTTTTCTGAGCAACCTTGGCAGCGTTTTTGTAAGACAAGCGCTGCGAGCGCTGCTTGTCTCCGAAGGACCGGATCCAAGGTCTGCCTGGCCCTGTTTCACAACTTGAGGCTGATGACTACTGCAAACACATTTCTATCTACAAATACATCAACCTATATATAATAACCTGTGTAGACCGAATGCATCAAAATGCTGCAACGGCCTTGAGACGGATGGAGAGAGCAGCAGGCTGCATGCTGTCGCACGGCTTAAATGTCAGGATGCTCCTTTGCTTACTTTCGCTGCTCTCTTTCGTACCAATGAGGACCTTAGAATTCAGAGAGGTGTCAGTCTGGTACCATATACCTTTGGTTGTACACTTGGGGGTGTCCCCTCTATAAATCGACCAACCAAAAAAAAGGTAATGCATCTTTCATTCACCGCTGCCTTTTGATCCTCGGTGTTGTGCCATGAAATCAAGAGACCGCTGTCCAACACCAACATCACCATCATTGTCCACCATCTCTCCGAGAAGAAGCCATCTATCACTTGCGCCCAGTATTTGTTTTTCAAACCTGGCCTCAGTCCGGCAGTGGGCCTCAGAATGAATTAGCAATTTCAGCTGACAATTGACATCAATCAGAACCAACCTCTGATTTCATCTCTTTTCTCATGCAGCCAGTTCCAAAGGGAACCATTTCGCTCCTCTTCCGCAGGCTTTGCAAGGGCATGTCGAGCTTGCTTCACTGAAGTCAGATATGTCACGATTCACATCAGAGGCTGAACAAGCAGCTTTACTTGCCCTAAGAGATTTGAAACAATCTGAATTTGATGAGATTCTGTTGTAGTTACTTTTGATGGATGGTGCAGTTAGTTTGATGTCACACAGCGTTGCAGAGCAGCGGTCCTTCTTTGGCTCGGAGTGTCCTGTAGAACCACACGGCCTGCCGCCCGCACCATCCAAAATGGCAGCTTGGCATTCAATTGCCATTGCATGTTCAGTGATGTTGTCAGTATTCAAGACAAATCCTGTTTCTTTTCCTTTGTTTGAAGAGCACCTTGAAGTGGCGAAATTGCTTTCTGGTATACAGGCCCAGCAACGCCGTGCACGTGCATCTCCGCTGCTGGTTGCTGGCATTGTGGGTTCATTGCACCTTGCTTTCAACTCCAATCAGGGGTGTCATGATCCGAGTTGTCACCGAATTGAACCTGTGAGTCAGAGTGAAAAAAGATTACATACTGTATATTGTATATTACATTATACTATGTTACATAACATTATATCATACTATATTATATTATGTCATACTATATTATACTATATTTACTATATTATATTATACTATATTATATTACATTATATCTAATATGTTATATGCGTTTGTTTGGCGGCATGTCTCTGATCAGACCATCGCACTCAGTTGTAGATTTGCAAGCTGCCAGCTAGCTAGACAGGTGCTGTGCGAGCTTCTCGTGGACCTTCGCTTGCCCAGCTCGGTCTGTCCACCAGGGACACTCCACTTCTTTAACGAATTCGGCAAGCAGGAGATACCTTGGACAAAACTGATGTAAACTCTTGCATGTTTGGTGCTTTGCTATCCTCACCTTTGGTGGCACTTGAACGTGTTGTGCCAGGAACTGGGCTTTGGGAACTCTCCCTCGCGATGAGTCAGTCGTGGCCACATCAGCGGTGGCGGCAGGGGCGAACTTTTTTAGCAAGGTGCCCTTTGCATTTGGAGCTCGTTATATATTTGTGCCTTAAACTTACACCCCTTTACCTTTAACTAAATTTACCTCTCATGCTACACTTCAGGTCTTTGCAGCAGGTGCCCAGGGCGCGACAGCGGCTCAACTAGATTTGTTGACAGAACTTTTTGGAATCAACACCATGCGAATGGCACGTAAGCCAAGTTTCCAGTATGATGCTGCCATTGAGGCAGCGTTTGTGGCTGCAATTTTGTCTGCCATTTGCGAGCCATTGGTTTTGGCCTTGGAGGAATCATGCCGTATCTGGGTCTCATCTCCACATCACCACGCTCTCTGACTTCCCTAAGAACTCAGGTCAACCGATTGCTGGTGAAGCGCATGACTGTGGCTCAGGCCTCCAGGATTCACTTCAACTGTTCCCAGACATGGCTGAGGCTGGCTATATTGCTTTTGAGCTTTTGAGGCCATGAAGGAGGTGAACTTCAAGCTCATCGCAAATTTCTTCCTCACAACATTCCCGACCAACATGTATCTGGACAATGAAGGGGCGGTCAAAACTTTTGATAACACCAAGTCCTCATGAAAAGAATTGTTTTGAGGAAATTGAGCCTTTTAAGGTTGAAATTCCCAGTCTTTGAAATCATCAATATGGCCATGACCTTCACAGCCTTCAGCTCCGGTGTGAGTAACTTGGCCAATAGGCTGGTGTGATCATCAGAACCTTGAAGTGACTTGAGAGATTTTCTTGCTCGTTGGTGCTTTGCTTAACTTGGTGCTGCAAAGTGCAAACTTTTTAGCAAGCTCTTCAAGGTGGATTCATCAGTGGGTTCTTGTTCTGCACCATCATGCTCCCCGTCACAGTCTTGGGACCACCAGCTATTGCACATTGAAATTGAACTCATACATCTCTCGATTGAGCTATCCCCACTGCATCCTGTCGTGGAAGGTCACCAACTACCGATTCCGCAAGAGCATGGGCTGGGAGATCAAGCCAGCGCTGCTGTATCAAGCTTATGTCAGGGCCCTGGGAAATTTGCATCCGCACGAAGACCAGATGCATCCGCTTTCATGGGGGCTTGCAGATTTACTCGAATTTTGTGTTTTGGTTTGATTATTTTTGCAGTTTGGAATTGTATATTGTCGTGCTGAGATCCCCACAGTGGTGCGTGACATCATCTACGGCTGGGCCCGCGGCTTTGTCGGCGTCGGCATGGCAAAGGCCTTCAAACCGCAGACCTTCACGCAAGAGGCGCGAAACAACATGAGCTGTAGGAAAGGAAGATGAACAAGAACTGGAAGACAACATAAAAAGACAACACAAAAAGACAACAGAAAAACCACAATTTCCGGGGTTGCCGCTACAGTATCAGTTAGGTCAGGCATACCACAAAGGACAAAAATAGCATAAGTAGACTAAGTTTTCTAGTAGGCCTAGCCAGGCCTTAGTAAGGGCTTATATAATGAGTTTGGAAGCTCTGAGAAGAACCCTCGGTACGAAATGGTTCCTAGATTTTCAGGGACCAGGTTCTCAACGGAGAAACACAAATAATTATTCAAAAACAAATCAACCAGGAATGTTGAATGATCTGTAAGAGGCAGTGGCTAACGCCTCAGAAGCTTCACAAGACAAGAAGACCAAAGATGACAAACGAAATGCCTTGCAAAGTCTTCAACTTTTTCGCGAGGCATTCGTCTTTGCGTTTGTGATCTGGGCATCCTGCAACTCGACCATCGCGAATGTCCCGTCATAGTGCATTTAAACCATGCTTGTGGCTGCTTTTGTTGTTTTTGTTTGCGAGCATAAGAGAAATGATGAGACTCTCATAACATCATTTGCCAAAATTTGACGTCCGCAACGTGACACTGCCTTCAACTGGCTTTGTTCAGATGGATTGCACTCCTAGTCTTCATGTTGAGGCATCCTGTCTTCGCCCTGCAACGAGTGGCGAGGATACACCCTCCAGCCCAAGGATAAGAAGCTCTTGGCACGCACTTAAGGAAGTTGGATCATCGGCCCTCCATTCTCTACATACTTGCGCTATCCACTTGCCCTCCTCTATCTTGATCAAGATTCAAGAGTCCAAGACATAGTCACCTTGTTGTTTCAATCAGAGGATTATGCCGTGCCTGAACAAGCCAGGCAGACTGGAAATTGGTGAAAAGCCAAATCACAAGGCCCAGGCGCCCATGACTTGCGTCCAAGGCTCACCTTCCAGGAGTACTTTAAGCCGGTCAACTACGCACGATCTACAGGCGGAGAGCATGAGTGGATGCAATCCATTTATTTGCGCTTGGCTTCGAAGGATGGTCGTCCTGCTGTCTCATTTAGGAACTAACGAAGATCAATTGATATAGAGTCAGAGTCTATTTTGTAGCCTGGTCAAGCACGCCTTCGAGCGCTACTGTGAGGCATCGGTGCCACTATCATGGGCATTTCTCTTTTCATTGGCAGACTGGTGACTCCTTACGCGGAAAAGGCATTTGCGTTGCCTGGATGCACTGCAGAGAAGACCTTCCAGGCATGAAAGACATATGCAGAGACATTTTGGCAAGGCTGCTTGAATTGATCAATTCATTATCAATCCTGCTTCACTGCTTTCCGCCGTATTCAGGTCTTCTGTACTTATTCCCCAAACAGTGTGGTAAAAGTAGGGTTCTTATGGTAAGGGTAAAGGCCGGGTGTCTGATCGGAAGTGCTCATCGGGCCTCCGGGCTAATTCGCTGCTACTTACAGTACATTCATTCACCTCGAGATCTTCGAAGTGCATGTCGACTGCGCAGGCTCGCAGAATCTGGTGGGCTGGCGCGGGTACTCTTCGAGACTGCGCTCTCGTTGTGGTGCCGTGCGCGTTTTCTGACTTGGTGATCACTTTTCGGGGCAGGCGCAAGGGAAACCTCGTGTTTTTCGTGACCTTGAAGTGCAGACTTTGTGGCAGGCGCAGTACTTTGTGGACCCTGGAGTGTGGATTTGCAGGCGCAGGGAAGTGCAGATTTCGCGGGAGGCGCAGCAAATGTTTTTTTACACGTGTGCTCTCATGTCTGTGCCATTTTACATGTCCACGCATATGTGTGCTCTTCAGACCGCACGCCTAGATGTCTAGACATCTTTCGCCACCTTCAGGCCTCTAGAGCTCTGGACCTGCGCAATATCATTTGGTAGAGAGCTTGGGTGTTGCGGCGGCATTGTCAGGAAGAGCCGCCCGAGAGAGAGAGAGAGAGAGACAGAGAGAGAGAGAGAGAGTTGGTGGCAGACTCTTACAATCCAAATGAACAATTAGGGAACAAAGTCCGATTCAGAAACCAAAAATCCGCGATTCAGCAACCAACAAGGCGCGATTCAGAAACCAAAACCGCGATTCAGAAACCAAACATCCGCGATTCAGAAACTACAATTCCGAATAGTCGTTGGTTTCCGAATCATGGTTCCTTGGTTTCCGAATCACGCTTGGTTTCCGAATCATCGTTTTGGTTTCGGAATAAAAACCGCAATTCTACCTTACAACCCAAGGCGCAGTTACTGCCACTTTGACAAAGAGACTGCTTTGGCTCCGCCCCTGGAAGATTTGACACCAAGCAACGGCGGTGATCAGGTGGATTTTGAATCCACATCACCCATCACCACCATCACCGCCACCACCTCCTATTGAATTTTCAATGGATGCCCGTGAACAGTGGTGGAAACAAGCGGTCGTTAAAGAAACCTGTTCAAACTTCTCGCCCACGCGCACGCGCGACGACCCATTGAAGTCGCGACGTGGCCTTTTCTCCATGTGTGCGTGTCATCGACTCAAGATGACATTCAATTCAAACTGGTACACTTTTCGATTTTGTGCATGAGTGTGTAGCAGCACTGCAAGAACTCATGCCACAAAAAAAAATGGATTCGGCTCGAACCGACCTGTGTGTTCTACAATGCTATGTTTGATCAAGTGTACTATTCTGTCTCACATCCCCGCTCGAACAAAGCATTGCGCACTGACATCTCCTAACAAAGGTGTTCATCTATTCCGGTTGGATTGTGTCAGCCCTTCAATTTGTTACGATTTTCGTTTGGGGACATCATTGGCTCTGGGATACTATGGGATATGGATGCACTGCTTACACGGCAGAGAGCACGATCATACCGTGCCGTGCCAAGATGGACAGGATCCCTCCTGATTCCTCAAATGGAAGTGACGGGGGAACTCTGATACAAAGCAAAGCCGCTGAGATTGATCCAGCAACACCCATTCGGACATGGCGCAATCTTCTCGACAACGGTTCCCTTATAGCATGGTGACACAGCGTTCGGCATTTCTCTCCGGTCTTCACTGCAATCTTGTAATAGATCGCAGGTTCATTCCCTGATAATATGATGGTGGCGCAATCCATCACTTGCGCCCATTCATTTGACTTAGTATTTTCTTTCTTCACGTGGATCATTGCCGAACCCTCGCCCTCATTATGTCCCGCGCCTGATCGCGCCTGAACTCTTTCCATAGCCTTCGTTCTTCACCACATTTTCTAAATTCTGACTTCCAGCCTGATTCAAAGAAGGTCCTTTGTGATTGGCCACTTCCATTTGTCGCTCGCGCATGCACTGACGTGCCCGCTGTGGGAGAGTCAACGGAGATGACAATCTTCGGAGTCTTTGGCAATATCGGGTCAAGGAAATGCAATGCATTCAAGAAAAAGGTGAGTGAATTGTACCCGCGGATGACCGCCGCAAACTTTGGCTCTTGTGAAAGCAAGCCAGCGCGCGCAACTTGTGCGCCCATGGGTTATGAGCCCAAGCCATGTCATCGACGGCGTTGCGACGAAGAAGATCGCAGTCGAAGGAGCCCACAGCTGATGAGCAGCTGGATGCCATGATAGAGGCCGCTCGACGGGCGGCGGAAGGCCAACGGACATTGCCTGCGCCGGAAGAACCTGGAGTTCAAGGACCTCGAGGGCCACCGCAGGTGTTTATGCCGATGGTGGAGGGCAGGATCGGGGCAGTGGGATGCTAGCTCCCTCCCAACAGTTTCGGCGGCGCCTTCCATCTTTCTGCCCAGGCGCCGAGATGGTGTGCTCGGCGGTGACCTTCCAGGGGAGAAGAAACCTCGGATCGTCGGGGAGCGATCGGACCAGTTCTTGAAGAAGGAACCCTTGGTCGGCCGAGAAGCTTCGTGATCTACACTACACGATCAAGCGCGTCAACGAGATCTTTCTTCGGGAACAATGTTTGAAGGAGGCTGAAGCGAAGTTCCAGGAGGAAGATCGCAAGTTGGGGCCACAGTGCTCGAACTATCGGCTGTGGAAGGCCCTGGAGGTAAGGTTCAAGGTGACAAACGGCAGGGTGAAGGTGGGGCACACCCTACGGTGGCGACTGCGCTTATGGTGAACGTGGGTTTTTATGGCCTTGGCGCTACGCCAGTAGTATATCCATGGCCCTGCCCTCCTGGACTAGCTGGACAACCTCCTTGAGGAAATGGCGTGCGCGGCATTTTTCTGAATGGATGTCCAAATCCATCAACGGCGCCTGGCGCGTGGGTGTCAGCTGAGAAATCATTGGGTGACAGTGCCCGGTCAGTGGAATTGCTGGTGCTGGGCATCGATGCTGCAGCGCTGACGCTTGCTGACTGGTTGACTACATCGGAACCCCTCGTGTCGGAGATCAGCCAGGGGGCCAGTCAATGGTGACCTTGAAGAGTGTGGAGCAGGCCTATGAAGCCTGGTTAGTTGCAGACCCAAACGGCTATGGAGGCGAACAAATGCCCTCGAACCGAGAGGATGCTTAGTCTTTTGCTGCAGGCGGTTCCTGAAACAGTCAAATCTGAGGTTGTCATTGCAAGGAAGATGACCGTGGCGCAAGTCTGTTCATCCTCTACGTGAAATTTCGACCTGGAGGAAAAAGTGAGCGGATTAACCTCATCAGGAATTTGACCGAGCTCAAACTGAACAACAATATGATGGAGGTCGTTCAGGTCATTCGTACTTGGCGAAGATGGTGGAGTCGCTCAGAGGAGTTGGGGGGTTTGCTCCCCGATCCGGTTGTCCTTGCAGGCGCGCTAGTGAAGGCTTGAGATCATTTGGCTGAATCTGGAGCGCAAGTGGCCTATCAATTGGCTAGCAGTCGGCAGCAACTGCTGATTGATACCCGTCCTTCGAACCTCAAGATCTTCGCGGAGTTCCTCCAGGCAGAGGCAGAAGAGCTGTCGACGGGAGTGGGGACTGGGGTGGGTCAAGGAAAGGGGCCATCGCTGAAGACGGTCTACATCTGGCATCTCCTCTACGTCGCAGACGGGTCCTACACGGGGGAACTACGGGAGCATGGCGCTGGTGACAAAGACATCTGTCGCTTCTGGATGCCAGAGAAGGGGCGTCGGCGTGGCGATCGTTGCAAGTACAGACACAGCAAATTGAGTCCTAAGGACAACAGGCGCTTCTAGCCGTACAGCCTGCCAATTCTTGAAGAAGGAGGGGAAGGGTGAAGGGACGGTCAAGGTGGCGAAAGTCAAGGGGGGAAGCAACAACGGTAGCCAGGGACTTCGGCGTCGGTAGAGGAAGTGCCTACTGGGTCAAAATCTACGCCTGGGGAGGTGCTCCTCAAGGAGATGAAGTGATGAACACCGTGCAGGGCTTGGTGGGTGAAGCGACGGCGTTGCTGGGGACTACACTATGTGACGGTGGAGGGCCTGAAGGTAAAGTGGAACTGGACGAACGGCGACGCATCCTCTACGCCCCGGACTTCCCAGTGAGTTGGCTACAGCCGAGGTGGTGCCGGTGGATCTAGCATACGGTCGAGTGTTGACGGGCACTATTTTGGTGGAGGGGCAAATTGAGCCCATTGTTACATTGTTCCAATCCGGGGTTGATCGACCTGGTCTACAAATTACTTGGCATTCGCCGTTGCAGCGCTTGGGAGAGCCGTGACGAAGCGCCCTCGTTGGGCCCTTCAAGCTGGGTACTACATCCTGGAGTGTTTGCCACTGAGGAGTGCTTCCTGACTATGTACATGGAATCCTCGGTGATGGGGGACAGTTTGCAAGCTCTCCTGGGCGAAGTGCTGGGCCTGGGCGAGCTGCCGGAGATGAGGGCGAGAACGCTGGCGGGGCGCGGCTCGCAAAGTGGCTTTGTGCATGGCCAGTTGTGCTGCTTGTTCTGCGGCCGAACGTGATCGCCAAGACAGCGGTGGTGGCGTCGCTGGCAGTTGCTTTGGCTTATGAAGCCACGAGGGTTCTTGGCTGTAGCCAAAACAGGGAGAATGCAAGGGTTGTGTGCCCTGCGGGTCAACCCGCCGGGAAGGGAACAAAAAGGCCAAGGGCCCGAACAAGAAAGAAAAGAACAAGAAAAGAACATAAGAAAAGATCAAGAGGCCACAATGTCTGTTGCGTCGGGCCACACGCAAGGGTCTTGGGACGTGGTGTCCGAATTTGCAGAAGACCCAAACAGTAGCCTGGAGGCTCCCGCGATCGAACTGGAAGCGTCGAGCGCACGCCATGGCATCTGCGTGAGAGCGCATCCAGCTGCGCCTTGGGAAGCCTGGGGAGGTTGAGAACTCTGA